CCATTAATATAAACTTTTAAAATGTCTTCAGTGATTGCAGGATTAATCAATCAGGCTCTCATTTAAGTCAGCACAGAGCAATATGTCATTTACATCACTACGGTAAGAAAACCTTTCCCAAAAAATCCATGTAAAAGTTCCTCTAATCATAATTATAAACCTCATGAATTTAATGGTACACGAATGAAAGATGAAGGATCATTTGAAATTAAAAACTCTTAGCGTGTGTGTACTCATCCAACTAAAACACACATCTGCACATACTCAAGGTAATCCTCAGGTTTTACACACTTGGGAGGGGGAGATGAGGATTCTTCAAACGATTACATCTCCGCAAACGTAGTGGCATTCGGTCTCCTTGACTCGTGCTTCTGCACTCTCATTCTTGTAGGTTACTGGAGTAAAAGCTGGAAGTCTCTGACATGGTTTTGGAGATGCTGCGAGAGGACGAGCCATTGGAGGCGAACTCCCTGGAGGGGCTGTGAACTGCCAGTCTCCCTGCGGCCCCTCTGATGCTCCCAAACGTGACCTTTTGGCCATCTTCACATGGCTGCATCACGCAGGACACAGTGGTCTCCATTCGACTGGCCCTGTACAAACTGGTCTGGGTTTGAATGTATCGGGTGGACTTGAGCTCTAGACCCTCGTAGGATCCCTCAGGGATGCACGGACAGCAGCGGAATGCTTGCTTAAATCCCGCACGGAACCTGAGGAAATGTTTAGAAATGTAAGAGATGAATAGGCAGATAATGATATGGGTTTCAAGTTGAAAAAACTGACTAGAGGATATTAAAGCTTTATTGTCTTTCAAAGGCTTTTGTGATGGATTTTCAGTATCTGAGTGAGGCAGTAAAACCAGGATACATTAGAGAATAATACATCACAGCATTGGACTGTATTTTATGGTACAAAGAGATGGATCATTTTGAACAATCATGATATTATAGTGAATATTACAGGGACTCTGGAAAGAGCTAGATGTGCCTGTGTGTGCGTCAATTACTGTGTTTTCACTCCAGGATAAAATTACCTGTCATTAAGGCAGCAGTAGATAATGGGGTTGTACATAGTGGAACTCATTGCCAGCCACATGATAGTCAGATAGACCTGCTGAATGAAGGGTTGCTCAAACAGGTGCGGGTAGAACTGGTGAATCAGGAAATAGACGTGATAGGGGAGCCAACAAAGAGCGAATGTACATACCACCACAATCATCATCTTCACCACCTGAAGGTCGAACAAGAAGATTGGTTATACTTTATGCTTATAAATACAATATCTGTCATTCAAGCTGATTTCCTAGGCTTTGCATGCTGCCCACATTGTATGAAAACTTGCAGAATGCTGACAGACATAATGTTCCCTAATAATTTTATTGACAGATTTTAGGTGGTTCAATGGTCTTAATTTACCACCAGCAAGCAGAATGCAAACGTGTCAATCACATTAAAACGTAATAAGTATAGAGGTAAAAATATGAATTGTGCAGGAGCCATTTTTCAAAGAGCCAAATATATATTTCAGAAATAGCTTAAATTACATTAATTATATTTCTGTCAGGACCACTATCGTCAAAATGATAGATA